CCGCCACCACCGCCGCGTCCGCCGTGTCCGCCGTGGGAGCCGCCGCCGGAACTGCTGAGAAAAAGGGGTCCTTTTCAGTTTCTCACGCACTGGTAGGGTCGGAGGCCCGTGACTTTAGGAAATAAAGCGTTGTCGAGGGAAAACAAGCGGCCATGTATGTGTGTGAAATCCACCTTTAGAAATAGCGTTCAAGCTGTCCAAGTTTTTATAACAACGAGTAAAACCAGACAGGACTTCATTTCCTATGCCAAAAAAAATAAAAAAGAGAGAGAGAAAGAGTTGTGTACACTTGACATCCCGAGAAGCGAAGGACGGTGCTGCGCACGCTTTTTTTGGGTTGGTTGGTTTGTTTGTTTGTATCCCGAGCCTCCTGGTTGGCTCGGAGAGTCCTTGCTGCACGGGCTGTTGGAAGCGTACCTTGGGATGTGCCAGGGGCTCCTAAACGCGTTCTTGGGGCAGCTCAGTGATCTGTGACTTCCCTTTCTTTCCCCGCGCTCGTTCCGGACGCCCCGACAGAGCCCTTTCTTCTCGGTACAATAAGGCGTGTGTGCGACTCACCTCCCTTCTCCTTCTAGCAGGCTGCGGTAGGTTTGAATTTCATTCTCCAGCCGGATCTTGATGTCCAGCAGCTGTTCGTACTCGGCGTTCTGGCACTCGGTCTCGGCTCGGATCTGCTGCAGCTGCTCCTCCAGCGCGCTGATCTGCACCTGAATCTGGGAGAGCTGCACGCAGTAGCGGCCTTCTGTTTCTGCCAGGGAAGCTTCCAGGGATTGTTTCTGAGAAGAGAACGCAGTGCCGTTTAGTGGTCTTGCTGCTCCAGACAGAACAGCCATGCCTAAGGGTTTCATCAAAGACCAAGAACATGAACAGAATTCCTGTTGTGTCCCACGACAGCCAAGACCACTCCTTCCCCCCTCCCCGGTTTGATTTCTAATCTCTTACCCTAACACTTCCTTTGGCTACAGGTTTTCTGATCTTATTGCTGCCCTTCTGGTGTTAACAAGAAAGTCTATCAACGTGGAAGCCATTGCAAGATCGTGTGTTAGTAACTTACCAGGGCTAATTGGGACTGTAGTTCGATCTCCAAACCTTGCACCGTGCGCCTTAATTCGGTAATCTCAGATTTATAGCTGGATATCTGTTCAATGTTACTATCGATTTCTGTAGTCAGTTCTTTGCTCTACAGAATGAGAAAACAAGGGTGAGATGGGAACGCTGGAGCGTGGAGAACAGCCCCCTGGCCTTCCCGAGGAGAAGCATCTCTTCACCCTTTCGTTAAACCAGTTCTCAGCGTCCTTGCGGTTTTTCTCAGCAAGTTGTTCATATTGGCTCCTCATGTTATTCAGAAGTTGAGTCAGATCGACGCCGGGGGCAGCATTCATTTCCACATTCACATCACCAGTGGACACATTCTGGAGGTCTTTCATTTCCTGTTCAAGGGGCAGACACAACCTGTTGAGTTCACGGGGACCTTAATAAGCCCCGTTTTGGGGGGGCTAGAGGAAGTGTAACTTTTGCTCACCTCTTCGTGGTTCTTCTTCAGGTAGGCCAGCTCTTCAGTCAGGCTCTCGATCTGCATCTCCAGGTCAGACTTGCTCAGCGTCAGCTCGTCCAGCACCCGGCGCAGCCCGTTGATGTCGGCCTCCACGCTCTGGCGGAGGGTTACCTCGTTCTCGTATCTGACAAGCAAGACACAAATAGTAGGTGTGACTTACGGAGGGCAGTGTATCGTGGCAGAGGCTGTTTAAAAGTTAGTGACTTGATAAAATGGCGTCATTCTCACATTGCAATATTAGTGGTGTGCTACAAAGCAGTTTGGCAGTTACTGTAAATACATTTCTTCAATATTGCCGATCCAGTAATACTGAAGTTGAACATTTCTCAGGTAGCTGCCATTTAATTTCACTTGGAATGAATGAACCCCGGAAAATATCAGTGCTCTTGTGGAGCATCATTTGTGGTGATAGTATTGTGCCCTCCCCCACTTACTTCAGCCGGAAGTCATCCGCTGCCAGCCTGGCATTGTCGATCTGGAGCAGGACATTGGCATTGTCAGTAGTTAGGTTGAGGATCTGGAGGCAAAGGAGGTTATTTAAAAAGAGGTCAGATACAGAAATAGCTGCTACAGTGCCATAGATACTGTTTTACTGTTGTGCTCTTACAAGTGCTTTGAGGAAGTTTTATCTTACATAGAAAGTATTGCAGACTTACCCATATTCTCAAATCTGAGTCATTTGTTGTCTTTATCCTGTTGCTATATCCTGTTATTTCTATGTCATCCCTTTCTGTTAATTAACCGGACTTAAATAAACATTCTTTTCCCAGTGTCCCTTTCCTTGTACACCGACTTATTTTCATATATTTTGGCGTGCATTTAACTGATGCCTCTGGTGTGACATCATAAATACTTCTCAGCAAATACGGTACAAACTGCTACACAGGAAGTACACTTATTGATCCGAACAATATTTTGTTATGGCTTACTTAATCGTTCAGTTCCTACATTCGTGCATAGGCTAGTACACTTTCTCTGTGGACTCATTATGTGTTCATTAAAACCGAAAACATTTTCAGTAACCTACCATCTTAATAACCCACAGGCATGTATCACAGTATCACAGGCATGTCCCCCCAAAATACTAATTGATAGTAGCATTAGATTATTTTGGGAAGTAAGAAAGTAACCGGTAAAAGTGAACAGTTACAGTTTGCTTCATTTAAGAGCTGTGCCTCTGAATTTCCCGCGTGGTGAGTCACGTGGGGCCTAGCAACGAACCTTACCTGGTTTTTCAGGTCTTCGATGGTTTGGTAGTATTTGCTGTAGTCACGAGGCTCTCGCTGGCCCGAGTTGCCGTGCCTTTCATACCACTCCTTGATCTTGCCCTCCAGCTCATAGTTTGAATCTTCCAGAGCCCGGACTTTGTCCAAGTAGGTAGCCAGGCGGTCATTTAGATTCTGCATGGTTACCTTTTCGTTTCCGGAGAGGAGGCCGCCATCTCCCCCACCGAACACACCACCCCCACCGAAGCTGCCTCCTCCGAAACTGCCCCCGCCAAAGCTGCCTCCTCCGAAACTACCCCCGCCAAAGCTGCCTCCTCCGTAGCCCCCGCCAAAGCTGCCCCCTCCGTAGCCCCCGCCAAAGCTGCCTCCACAGCTCCCACCCATGCCACCTCCACCAAAGCTTCCTAACCCTCCTCCAAAGCTTCCTGATGAGCTCCCAAAGTAGCCCCCACCCGAGCTCCCCCGGCTGCAAGAGCCACCACTGAACCCCCCTGAGCTAAATCCTCCACCCATGGAGCCTTTGCTGCACGAAACTCTGAGGGATGACCCTCCTCCTCCCCCCCCTCCTCCACTGCGGGAGGAAGAGTACTGCTTGCTTGAGCTGTATCGAACAGACATGGTGATGCTGTCGAGCTTAGCCCAGGGAGTGCTGCTCGCCAACACAGTGACAAGCCCTTATATACTGAGAGGGTGTGCCCCGTGTGTATTCGGGTTTGCTTACTGGCAGGGTTTTCTTTTTGTCAACTTAGCATCTTCGGTTTAGGGTTGCATAAATTAGCTTCATTAATAACCAATCTCAATATGTACGGTTTTGAATTTGCCCTAGGAACAAACAGGAGGTTTGCTATGTTGAAACTGAACATGGGTGGAGTTCTGAAGCCTGGCTTGCATTATGCTCTCTCACCTGTTGCAGAAGACCGAGCAGTTGTTCTCACCACTGACTCAGGTTGCTCAGGATGTTTGCAAATGATGATAAAACAAATCTATGTTTTTGCTACAAAATTAGAGCTCAAAGGAGATTTCTCAGATTCATTATTCAAATAGTTTTTAATGTGATGGAGCCCCAAATAGCAAGAATCGTGCCAAATCATGTCAAACTCATGCTAATAATGATAAGGTCCTTGTAGAAAACGGTAAGAACCTTCCAGTTCTTACAACCTAAAAGAAATTGAAATACACACTCTAAACAATTTAATTAGTGTTGATAAGGTGTTACATTAAAAAAAAAGTGAGTTAAAGCCATGGAAGCACAGTTTAGGGAATGTTCTGTGTACATATTAGGGAATCTTTTATTTTATGTCGAGAATCAGAGTATAGTATAGTGTATGTATAGGAATGTGGAAGTGAGTCACAATCAAGGAATCTTGTGATTAAATGATGCCATTATTTTTTAAAATAATTTAATTTGGGGCTCGTACAACACTGATCACAATCCATACATACATCAATTGTGTCAAGCACATTTGTAAATTTTTTGCCCTCATCATTCTCAAAATATTTGCTTTCCACTTAAGCCCTTGGCATCAGCTCCTCATTTTCCCC